TAGATAAGATGAATTCTTGTGTGCTCTCTTTAGGATGTTTTTTAACACTATTTTATATCTGAGTGGGCATTCACTCTTAAAATTAGTTAATATTATTAAGTGTTGGCTTTTTATTTTATTATTAAGGCTTTCATTATTTTTAATCTTTTTTTTTTACATGTGGATGAGGTTATTATGCTTTTATTTTCTACTAGTATGCTTTAGATGAAGTCTGGTAGGTTTGTGTGTGTTTAAATGACTTCTAATGGAACAATGGTCAAATAAGTATAATGTAAATCATCTGGATAGGTATGTAATAGTGTGACCAATGTAATTATGAGTTTGTTTTGATCAGGAACACAGGGCATTTGAACTTGTAAATAATGTTCATTCTTTGTAGTTTTGATTTTGCAGGTGTGTTATTATTTTTGAAGATAAGATTAGCTGTTTTACATTTTTCATAATAGATAATTTAATTATTTTGTTCAGGTCAACTAGAGTAGTGTATTTTTTTGATATTTCTAAGTGAAGTGTCATCTTGTTTATAGTTGATGGGCATTTGGCTTTTGTAGAAAATATTTATGCTATTGTTTTTGTCTGTGTGAACACTATAAATCTAGATACATACACACAACCCATGCATCTATTAAATATATATAAATAAAATTATCCTTGATAATGGTTAGAAGTATAACCAAAAGTGCTTGGAATTACAGAACATTTGGATAGTTTCTATACACTCTGTGTCCAGAAAAGAAAACACTTGTTCAAACACAAGAAAAATTAAATAAAAAACTTAATCACAGTACATTGTCTGTTGTCTTTAATGAAACATGTATAGAAGAAAGATTGGTGCCTATACACACACAAACACACACACATTATATATATATATATATATATTTGGTTGGATTGATGTGAGTTTGTGACCCTGGGTTTCATGCTTTTGCGAGCGTCAGACAAACTGATTAATTTTTTAAAAAATTTGGGTTTATGTAGATTGCGTGTATTGGTGTTATTATATATATTTATTTATATACACACATTTTTCACACACACACATATATATATATATATATATATATATATATAAACAAAAGGAAAACATTCCTTTACATTTGCCTTGATAAAGTCCCTTACAGAACAAAACGCATTAACAAAGAAAAGTTTCCTTTAGTCTTACCTCCTAACAAATGGACGGAATGATTGCTGAAGGGCCCATATACAAAACTCTGAAGTTGGGATGTTGAAGGTAAAACCAATCGGCTACATAACAAACTTTATATTTATATTAATTATTATAATTATTTTCTTTTTAAAAATATGATTCCATCGCAAAAACTTTTTAAAAAGCAAATTGTTATATTCTGTGAATAAATACTTAACACCAGGTGGATAATAGAAGAAAGGTTTATTGTACACAACCAGTACAATATGAAATACGGTACAGTTATACACACAGGTCAATCTAGTAGAGAGTGCCACTAATTGGAAGGTCAGACATCCTTGCATCATCTTGCTCTCACTCTTCCCCAAGTCTCTTGTAGACAGTTGACTTTATAGGTACTTACTACCTATAGTGTAATCATTCCTGGGGGTGACTGGTTATTCCATTACATCTAAAATAATTATAGTATTTTGTTCTAATGTTTGTATTGAGCACTGTTTTTTTAAAAATAAAAATAATTGCTAAGAACACCGGATTATAAATCTTACTGTTCTTTCTTATTATTTTTATATATATATATATGTATTATTTATATATATATACTAGAGTTGAAAAGGTATATATAGGTTCAGTTTACATTCTAGTCAAGTTTACTTTCTGTTCAGTAACCCTATTGCCATTCTGGGGGTGAATTGATTAAAAGAAAAAATCCTGTATTAATTATACGTTATTAACCCATTAATATCCACCATCCCAAAAACCCTGAGCCTTGTTGGGTTGAATAAATGCTGACAATTTTATTAAAATCCCATATTTATCTTTTGTTTTACTTTTAAATTTGATTTTTCTTTTTGTTGCCTGAAATTTTTTGTATGCAATTATAACATTTAAAAAAAAAAAAATTTTTTTTTCTTATTTGCAGGTAAGCAGTTATTTCTTTGTTCCAGAATCTGAATACTGCCGCATTATATTCCGAAATTCGCTTGTAAATATGTCTGCATTATTTTTTTACTTTATTTTCTAATTTTCTTCTAACCCATCACATACACCACAGGAGCTCTCTTGCAACTCTCATTTAAGTCATGACCCCTTGATTTAACTCTCGCAACTGATCTAGAGTACAACAGTAACATTAGTGTTTATTGACATAGTAGTAAATTGTATTTCTTCAGAGTCCAGATATCTGGTTAAAAATTTTACACTTTGATTTGAATTATACGCGTTGATAATTGCTTATTTATTATTTGAACATATTTAGCAATTCCTCTAAGCTCAAGTCAGTATTGACGAACAGCTGACTGTTTTATATATAACACAGAGGGAAATTGTAAAGCCAGAAAATAGATTTCTGAGTAATAGATGAGATTTTGTCAATCTGGTGGTAGTATAAGTTTATAATGGTTATGTTGGTTGGAATCATTCATACTTACCGTTGCTACCCAACTTAAAAAAAAAAAAAAACTTTTCAAAACAATTCTCAACAATTTGATTGGCCCAAAATTTATAATTGATTTTGTTGTGGTGTCCTCCCTTTAAAGAGTCTATGTTGAATTCTTCCGTCTACTATAAGATTAGTATAAATGAAGGCCTTGGTGGAACAGTTGCACAGATTGTTCGTTACTGTCAGACTCTCTGCCTTGGCAGAGAGGAACCTGAATGAGGCTTTGCCGAAGGGCAAAGTTTCGTCTGGGGAGGTAGACAGGCCCAGATCTGCTAATACGGGTTCTACGGGAATATTTTTGGCCAAGCCTATGGGCTTGGAGAGCCCATGGTAAACTCGGCCTTGTGCCACATACATCCCTCATGGTGGGGGCTGTTAAATATTAACAGTTGAATAGATTGTTCTACCGGGCTGTGACTGTTCGCAGCTGCTGTCGAACTCTCTGCCTTTGGGCACAGAGGAACCCAGAAGTGCAAAGTTTTGTTCGGGCAGGTAAACAGGCCCTGAACCCATTTATGCAGGTTCTGAGCAAATATTTTTGGCTGAGCCTACAGGCTCGGACAACCCACGGTTAACTCGGCCTTTTGCCACATACATCTCTCGTGGGAGGGGCTGTTAAATATTAACAGTTGAATAGATTGAATGCTGGTCAACCGACACACACTCACTAGTTGTGTAATACTCATCTGTTGTATTTACTGTTTAATATATGATATATTGGTAACACTTGTTTTGTGTCCAAGATGTTGTAACCAAGTAAATGGTTAAAGAAATAACAAAGCAAGTGTTACCAATATATCATATGTTAAACAGTAAATACAACAGAAGAGTATTACACAACTAGTGAGTGTGTGTCGGTTGACCAACATTCAATCGATTCAACTGTTCCCCCAAGGCCTTCTCTCCCATAAATCTTATAATAGGCGGAAGTCCAACATAGACTCTTTAGAGGGAGGACACCACAACAGATTTTAATACAACTTTTAATGCAATTTGATTTTTTTTTTATACAATACAAGGCCCAAGGTTCACTCAAGGTAGAGGGTTACTGAGTGAAATTTTTGTAAAGGAGGGGAAAGAAGGAAGTAAGAAATGCATGTTATGAGGATGTGTAGGATAGATATCAATTGACTGTGGAGTTGAAGAGGCCAAGATTGTAGTTGTCATGGAATCATTCTCTTGAGAGTTTTTTCCAAAATGTGACAATTCTAGGGAAGAAACTGTGTGAGTGGAACTTGCTCCTTAGCAAAGGAACACAAAGGGAACAGGGATGGTTTACCAGCATGAACATGGCATGTTGGGTTATAGCTGTCAAGGCCTGAGCTGGTGGATCTAAAGGATGTAACTCGTCTGAACATCTGTCATAGTAATAGTAGTAGAGTTGTGAGAGTCTCACAACATTTTGTCTTTAGGATAAGGGTTGCAGGATGGAGAATAATTCATCACCCACAAGGCCATGTGAGCATTTTTGAACTCTGTCAAGGCTGGACAGTGAGGCCTGGACTGCACTAGTCCATCTATGATAGCAATACTCCATTCATAGTCTGATCTGAATCTTGTAAAGATAGAACATGGCAGCAGGAGTTAAGTATTTTCTGAAGGGATACAGAGAACTGACCATTCTTTCAGCATCTCTTGCAATGGCATGAATAAATGTGTTTCATCTGAGGTCAGGAGTGAGCTTTAAACCCAGTAGTCATTCAAGGTAAGGAGCCTTTTGGAGGGTATGAAAACTCAACAGGAATAGTGCAGGTTTAGGGTCTGCTTGGTGGGTCATCTTACATGAGTAGAGGTGAGTAGTCCTAGATCATAAATACTATATAAAAAAGAAGTCTTTGTTTTTTAAAAAAAAACAAATATATGAATTTTATTTTGCTTTATCTTCAAAAATTTAAATGCAATATCAATCGTTATCTTCTGTCATAATTTGTATTCTTTTATTGTTCTCTTTAATGTTTTCTTTTTCTCATATTCTCACACAGTCAATAACCCTCTTTGTGTCTTGGTGACTTTATTGCCTTGCTTGGAGTTTAGTCTGTGGAATAAGGGCTGCACGGTAGAGAATAATTAATCACTCATAAGGCTGTGTAAGTGCTTTGGAACTCTGTAAGTGAGGATTGGGTAGCACCAGCCTAGATTTGGCAGCAATACACCATTGACTCTTGTAATGATGGAGCATGGCAGTGAGATTTCGGTATTTTCTGGAGCTTATACCAGAAACCAACCATTCTTCCAGAATCTTTTGCGATGGCAAGAATATACACATTCCATTTGAGGTCAGGAGTGAGCTTTAGACCCAGTATTTTTTAAGGCCTCTTTGAGGGTATGATCACTTATCTGGAATTGTGTAGGTTTAGAGTCTGCTTGGTGGGTCATCTTATGTGAGTAGAGGTTAGTAGCCCTAGATTGTAACTAAACAGAAGAAAGTAAGAAAAGCATATTATGAGAACCTGTAGGATAGATATTGAGAGATATTAGAGAACAAATGTAGGATAGATAGAACCTGTAGGATAGATATTGAGAGATATTAGAGAGAACAAAGTAGGAACAAATGTAGGGATAGATAGAACAAATGTAGGATAGATATTGAGAGATATTAGAGAACAAATGTAGGATAGATAGAACCTGTAGGATAGATATTGAGAGATATTAGAGAACAAATGTAGGATAGATAGAACCTGTAGGATAGATATTGAGAGATATTAGAGAACAAATGTAGGATAGATAGAACCTGTAGGATAGATATTAGAGAACAAATGTGTAGTTGTCAGGGAAGCATCCTTTCAGAAGTTTGTTCCACAAAGTATCAGTTCTGGGTACTCATCCAAATGGGACGTACTATCAAAGGAATACTAAAGGAAAGCAGATGGTTTGCCACTGTGAACATGTCATGCCGGATTCTAATTGTGATGGTCTGAGCTGGTGGTACTAAGGAATATAACTCATTCAATCATCTGCTATAGCAATAACAATAATAGTGAGAGGCTAGTAACATTTAGTCTGTGGAATAAGGGTTGCAGGGCAGAGAATATTTAATCACCCATAAGTGCTTTGGTACTCTGTTGAGGATAGTGAGTGAGGATTAGGTAGGACCATCCCAAATATGGCAGCAATACACCATTCTTGGTCTGACCTGACTCTTGTAAAGATAGAGCATGGCAGCAGGAGTCAGGTACTTTCTGGAGTGATACAGGGTACTGACCATTCTTCAAGCATCTTTTGCAATGGCACAAATATGTGTTCCATTTTGAGGTTGCAAGTGAGCTTTATCCCATATAAGTAACAAAAATACTTTTACATTTGTTTCCACTTTTATATTTTAAAAATTGTCTGAGGAGTGAAGATTCCTGTAGAAGATAACAGATTTTAAATTTTACATGTGTGTCTATCAAATAAAATAAATTAATTGTTTTGTTTTCTGCAGCTTATCAACTCTTTGCAGGTTATTTAAAGCCTGACAATATTTTTACCTTATATGAAATTTTTTTTGTTTTGTTTGAGAGAATAATGATTTTAGTGATACAAGCCTTACTAATTAACCTACAGCTGGGGGGAGAAGAAGTGGATCCATGCCTTTCCAGGGGGTATTTGTACATCAGTGAATATATTGGAACTTTCTCTCCAGTTAATAATTCTGATCCAGTATGTATTCCATCAACCACACATCCATGCTTACAGCACTTCGTATTTCCAAGTGATTACCTATTTAGGTACTAACCAACTTCAGTATGACTCATAAGCCCTCAAATGAAATATAGAAAAATGTCTTATTTGATTCAACAAAAGCATGCATAAAAAGCAAATATTTTTAATTAATATGTTAATTCACCTCTTTAAGTTCTCCACTGCCTTAACCAGGTATTGAACTCACACTCTTTGGGTCTTGTCACTGGATCTAACACTTTTATTCACTGTGGCATGTGTCCTTCAGGAGATAACTGATAACTGACATCCATTAAACATGGCATGTGGAACTAGAACAGTCTACCCCATTCAGCAAAATAAATGGTTCAGTTCGACATTCCAACCACCTGTAGAAGGCCGGAGTGTACAATGGCCAAAACATTGTAATAAATATAGCAACAAAGATGTGGACAGTATTCTGAATAATGTAAATAGTGTACATAATACCTCATCTAAGAAATTTAGACAGATATTGTTTTTAAATGTTGTTAATTTTATTTCATGTTTGTTGGTTTAAGATGTAGTTTTTGTGCCATTTGAATAGTGGTAGCATTTATTCCAGACATTTTTTCACTCCCTTACTCTCACCAAATGGAAAAATGCAAAAATTTTAGAAAAACTAAATAAAAAGAAAAAATTCATAAAATTCTCCTTGCTTGTCATATTCAATGAAAAATATTTGAAAGAAAGGTTTCTGGCCAAATATACATTTATAAATATATATATATGTATTTAAATAAAAAGAAAGAACAGTAAGATATATAATCTGGTGTTCTTATAGAATTTTTTATTTTTACAAAATAGTGCTCAATGTAAATTTACAGATATATATATAATGCTTCTGTGTGTTTTGGAATATGTGCTTATTGATTGTATATGTGTGACAATTTGTTCAAGAAAGAGGTCTATTCATACCCTGGGTTTTTAATTTTTTCCCAAGAACAAATATTTTAAGCATTTTCCTTGTAGAAGGGTGGGCCTCCTTAAACACTAAAATAAACATTTAATGTTTTTTCAGACATTTTTCCCTTTTATTTTTTCCTAATTTTTATTTTCCTTTTCCCTTAATGCCCTTTTTTACTTACTTGACTTTTGTCATAGGGGGTTGGGATTTGTGTAATGGGGGGGGGGGTTAACAAGGCTGACAAATTGGACAGTAACAGCACACCACTAAAATTATTGAAACAGTCTAAGAAGCAAATAAAGAGAAAGAAAAAGAATAGTTTCAGGTGAGGGGTCAATAGGAGAAAAAAAACTTTGCAAGAGAGAAGAAAAACAAAAAGTGAATCAAAATGCAAACAAATTTCATATCAAATCTCTAAACATTCCTCGGGTCTTCCGATATGATCTGATTTCACTTCTACGCCTTCTGGCTTTACCATTTTCTTTCAGGACTTCAAAGAAAAGTCTTTCAAAGAATTATCTCACAATTTCTGCTTCAGATAGGATAAAGTAAAATAAATGAAACTTTTATGATATGAACTGCAAGAGAAATCAGATTCAAATTCTTGTCACTTTTTTTTCTTTTTCTTTTTTTTTTTTACCCCCCATTTTAAACAAGGACCCTTATTCTCTGGACCAATCAGTTAAAATGGTAAGTTTACCTAAGGTATCTTTGAGATTAGTAACCATTTTTATGTTTTGTTTTTGTCTTTGTTAGGGAGTGGAAAAAAAAAAATAAAAACATTAAGTTGGTGTTTGCTACAGTCTGTAATCTCCCCATAGTTCAAAAGTCACCCCAAAAGCAGTGGGTGGGGCATCTGTATCAACAGAACCAAGTTCTGTATTTCTTGCCTCTCCAGGAATTGTAATTAATACTCTGTTATCTGCTCTAGGCTTCTAAGCCATTAGATCCTTTTTCTTTTTGCTTTACAGAGGTTGAGCCAAGATTTGACAGTGTTTTTCTTCACTGCTATCTCCACCACTACACCCCCCAATCTATAAAATGTCAACCTGCCAAACCACTGATTTAAATTGCCCAGTTTTCAAGACATTTTATTCAAGATTGTTTTCTTTCTTGTGATTTATACAAGGATAAATCAATAAGTCCAAAACCTATTAAAACAAAAAGCCTTTACACAAGAAATATTTATTTTTCAACATTATCTCTTCCTTGTCAATGCACTTAATTCAGAAGTGAATATTAATTACCTAGATCAAAGATTATACAGTGAAAATGTCAGATCAAAATTCATTTTTCCCAGGCAAACAAACATGACCATCTTAAAAATTAAAAAAAACAGTTAAACTCGAGGCCTTCTATTATTTAAAACTACTTAAATAATTTATCAAATTAAAATAATGATAATTGTATTAAAATAAATACATATAAAGAAATAATTAAATAAAAATTCAACATTTACTCACTTTCGTTTAATAAGCATTAAATTACATTACTTTAGCATCTTCCATAGTTTACCTTGACTTACACAGTCAGCTTCTTAAGTCTTCTTAAATTTAAAAATTTTGAAATATTTTTATTTCTCTTTATAAATACATATTGTAAAGTAAAATTCTTACATTTACCATTGGTAAATAAAACAAAACACACACACATACATACATATAGGGTGTAACAGCAAAATTGTCTTTATCATGTTACAGCATGCGATAATTGCCCATTCCACAAAATATTTAATATCTAAAAAACGCTAAACTAATTAAGTTTCTTTTTTTCCAGGTTTTTAGATAAGATATTTACCCATCTTGACACCATTTTTCATAATAATCTGAAAAACCCTTTGAGTTATTCAGCTAGAAAGAAAACAGGTTAAAATCGTTTTGTGTCAATCACACTATGTTTTCCCAGATAAAAAATGGTGAGATGAAAAAAATAATTCGGGCCTTCAGTAATGGTACCAAAGTTCTTACTCTGGCTTCCAACAAGAACCATCAAGAGAATGGTGAATAAATTTTAAAAGGAGGGAACATTAAAGAGAAAAACTGGATCAGGAGGTCACAACAGCCAGAGAGATCATCATTTCAGCTTAGAGCTAAGTACATTCTTACTGTTCAAAGTAGAGTCCAATAGTTTCATAAAAATCTTGGAGAATTCCAGTAGGATATCTTTAATCATTTCTAAGATACAACAGTTCAAACCTTAATCTAACAACTGGACAATTTTGCTGTTAAATGAAAGGAAAAAGAAAAATTAATTGAAATCTTAATCAAACACAGGTAACATAAAGTTTACAAGTAATTCTGTCCACTTACATAAGGAACAACATCACAGGTGAATTGTAGATGAGCCACTGATGGCTAAATTACACAAACTTTGTAGACACGCTGCTGTCAAATTTTTTTCAGAAGTGCATTTTCTTTGATTTTAGTTGAACTGTGTTGCACTATATATGGCTTAACTTTCTATTTGTAAGATTTGTTTGTATTTTAATATAATTTTGTATTAATCTCCTCATAGTATTAGTAACATTTTGTATGGATGTATTGATATTTGGTTAGTATTATTAACATTTTTCATTGATTTGTTATTGTTATTAACATCTTATATAAAGAGTCTTTAGTCAACAGTTGCACATTAATTTACCAAGTGATTCTATATGTTTAAATTATCTACTGATTTCTTAAAGAAGCTATTTATTTATCAACTATAAAAAGATTTTATGTAGGAAATTCACAAAGCAAATAACTTGTTTAGCATTTTGTTAAATTACCGCTGCACCTCATTTTTATTAGAAAATGACATTGTCTAATGTGTATAATATGTATCCATTAATATCTGCTCCTGTTTAATGTCTGTGCTGCCATTGACTGCCAATTTAAGGGTCATGACCCATTTATGAAAAATAATTTCTTAATTTTTGCTTATTCACTTAGTTTAAATTTAACATGGGTCATATTTGATTGGTTGATCTAAGTAAAGCCCACAAACCTTATAACCCCACTTTTCTTTTTTTTTTTTGTAAAAAGAGGTTGTATTTTGCTTTTAAATCTAAATAAATTGTTCACTTGCCAGTAATTTACAATCACCTGATGAGATGCATTGATATGCATTAAAACACAACTGCAATTGTGCAATGATTTTGACAT